TCACCGGGACATCAAGGGTGAGCAGGGGCAGGCTGTGTGGTCCCCGTGACCTAGTTACTTGGGAGCTTTCGACCTGGTCATTTTGAACTTTCTGAAAAGTGGAACCCTAATTGCTTCCTTGGGGGATTGGCATGAAGATCAGTTAAGCAATTTGGGAAAATACTGTGAAGTGCTCTGCAGATGTTGGCCATAGTGATGACGGTTTGGTGCTGTAGGGCTGAGGCTTCCCGTCACTAGCCTGTTTGTTCTGTGCAGGTCATGTCTAATTCATGGTATCCCCCCCATCCTCCCCAGCAGCCCTTTGACCTGGGAGGGAGAGACAGAGGGAGGATGGTGGAAAGTGCCCAGGGGTCCAGGGTTGCAGCCTCTGCCCTTTCATGCCTTAGGAGCCAACATCCTCCGAGACTCTGCTGGGAATGTGAAGCTGGGGGACTTTGGGGCCAGCAAGCGCCTGCAGACCATCTGCATGTCAGGCACGGGCATGCGCTCGGTCACTGGCACACCCTACTGGATGAGCCCTGAGGTGATCAGCGGTGAGGGCTACGGAAGGAAGGCAGACGTGTGGTGAGCACTGGGGACGTGCTGGGACCCCATCTCCCTGTCTGGGCTGTAGCGGCTCCAACTTAGAAATGAGGCTTGGGGGCTTTGCAGTGTGGCAGGAGGGAGTGAGAACTCACCTCTGGCCAGCGAGGCCAGGTTGCAGGCTCCGTGTGGGCAGAGGTGGTGGTGCCTGCAGCAGTACATACAGCAGATGCGCTGTGTTTTAACTCTGAATAGCAACTGTTTTGTTACCACTGAGAACTTAGGCCATGGAAAACATCCCTGATGTTTGCTAAATCCCTGAAAGAACTGGGATCCAATCTGAAGGCCTGATCTGTCTCTAAACAGCAGCAGGCTTGCGCTCCCTCCTCGTGCTCAGGTGGCTTGCATCTGCTCTGCCTAACTTCATGTCCATCCTCTGAAAGGGCCTGAAAGTTGTGAGAGCATCACTTCCTCTTACAATGTTACTGTGGTGGGATGAATAATGGTCCCTGAAGATGTCCACATACTAATGCCAAAAGGATTAGTAAATGTACCTGTGTTACCTTATATGACAGTAAGGCCTTTGCAGATTAAGAACTTTGAGATGGGGAGATGATCCTGGATTATCCAGATGGGCTCAGTATAAGCACAAAGGTCCTTATAAAAGGAAGGCAGGATATCAGAGTGAGCAGTAAAAGGTGACAAAGGAAACAAGAGGTTGGAGTGACGCAAGGCACGGGCCATGAACCAAGGAATGCAGGCAGCCTCTAGTAGCTGGAAAAGGCAGGGTGATGGATTCTCCTCTCAGAGCCTCCAGAAGGAACCATCCCACTGATACGTTGACTTTAGCCCAGTGAGACTCACTTTAGACTTCCGACCTCCAAAATGATAATAAATTTATGCCACTAGGTTCGTGGTAATTTGTTACAGCAGCAACAGGAACTAATACCGTTATCTCAGAGCTCTTTCTGAACATGCTAAAGTGGTTCTCTTCCCCAATGTCAGGAAGCACCTGGGTGGGTGTAGGTTGATGAAGCCCACATGGACGAAGCTGACGGGGCTTTGAAGCCTCTTCTGGCCTTGGGGACCCCTCTACAGGGGTGTCAACCGTCAGCTTGGCCCATCCTGTCTCAGTGTGTTCTGGGAAAGGCACCTCCTTTCACAACAGTGGGCAGGGCAGCTGGGAGCCTGGGGAGGGTTGAGGGGGTGACACTGGGGTTCTCTCTCCAGGAGCCTGGGCTGCACTGTGGTGGAGATGCTGACAGAGAAACCACCTTGGGCAGAGTATGAAGCCATGGCCGCCATTTTCAAGATTGCCACCCAGCCCACCAATCCTCAGCTGCCCTCCCACATCTCTGAGCACGGCCGGGACTTCCTGAGGCGCATTTTTGTGGAGGCCCGCCAGAGACCTTCGGCCGAGGAGCTGCTCACACACCAGTTTGCACAGCTCGTGTACTGAGCTCTCAAGGCCACGCTGTTGCTGGCCGCCCCCTGCTGCATGGGCGAGGGGCTGCTGTGGGGCTCAGCAAAATTGCTGCTTCTCCCAGGCAAGGCTGTGGACCATGGAGCTGCAGTCCAGCCAGCGTTGTCTGTGCCCTTCTGCTGCTGGGGCCCAGAGCCAGGTAGGGTGGCTGCAGCCTCACGGACTGGGAGCCCCCAGCCTGCCAGACCTGAAGCTCCAGCATCCTAAGCTCAGCCTGGAGGGGAAGGGGCTAGCAACAGCGTGCGAGGCGCCGTGGGCCCCGTCCTCGGCACTGTGTCCTGACACCACGGTCAGCACCAGACCCCCGGGAGTCTGGGGGCACAGGATGGACACGAGGGTCTGAATAGTGTTACTTTCATTCAGAGTGTTATTTTGTTTCTCCTCCCCATGTCTGGAGACCACCAGGGCATCTCTGGGCTGGATGAGCCCACCCACGCCTGAGGTAAAGCCCAGCATCCCGCAGCCAATGGAAAGCGGAGGCCTGGGCTGCACTCCCCCTGGAGCCCCAGGCCAGCTTGCCAGTCCCTTTCCTTTACCAAAGATGAATGAAGCAAATGTTATGCTGCCTTATTCAGGGAAGGAGGAGCCTGTCCTGCCTGCCCCCATGACCCTGACCCCCTCCCACCCTCAAGCAGGGGCCTGAGATGTGGAACTGCCCCCACTGAGAGGGAGACCCAGTTTTGTCAATGCAATTGTCTCTGTTTTACAAGTTGGAGTCACTCTTATGCTGTACCCAGTTTCTAAACTGGAGACTTCGTGTGCCCTCTGGGCTCTGAGTACCCCTGCTCTGGGCTTGGGCCTTGGGCCAGATTGGAAAGAGCTGAAGGTCATGGCCTTTGTGCTCCTGGCCTGGCACCTGTTCCCCTCCTGGGGCAGAAAGGACGATGGACAACACAGTGAAGGCATCTGAGCCAGCTGGGTACCCTGAGTGGGCCGTTCAGGGCAGCCAGGGGAGTCGTATCAGGCTGTCTGCGGGTTACGACCTGCTAGGCCAGAGCTCTCTATGATGCCACCAACTGTGTCCCAAACTGCAAAGCTCTGTTCCTCCTTGGCCAGCCTTGCTCATCCCCATGAGGTCTCAGCCTCTTTCCCTTGTTGCTCCTATGGGGGAGGAATGGCAGCAGGGGTCAGGGAGCCAGTATCTCCAAGCAGCTTAGAGTTGGCCTTATTTACCTCAGCCTGGGCGCTGGTCCTTTCTTCCGGCCCCTCCCCTCCAAAAATGTGCCTATTGCTAGAGCTCCTCCCTCTCCAACACCCAGTTTCCTTGGGAGTTGTCATTAAAGGAAAAAAAAAAAAAAAAAAGCCAGTGCCCAGGGATGGGTGTCTCCAAGGAGCTGGGGATTAGCGCCAGGCAGCTCATTGCCAGCCTTGCCCACTTCCCCACGGGCACCAGAACAAGCCAAAGCCTTCGTTGTATGTTGACGATGCACTTTTATGAATGTAGTTTCTATCGCTGTTTTTAGCCTTTTCACATCATGTAATGTGAGGCCTTGTACTTGTTAATTTATATCTCAGATCATATTTGATGGTTTTTATATATATCAATCCTAGACTGTTACAGGTGATGGACGCCTCAAGAGAGAGAAGAGAAAATGAAAGCAGCTGGTTTTGCAGGAATGTGTGTTGCACGGTGCCAGTTGGGCCTGGGCCCCTGTTTCCATCCTTTTCCCCCAGGGGCCTCTGTCAGGCACCCCCAGGCGGGCGCTCTGAAGACAGTGAGCATGTGCTCCTGCCTCCACCTTGGCTCTTGGCCCAGGGTGGGGACTGGCCCCTTGCCTCGACCAAAGCTGCCGAGCGGCAGCTCGGCCTCTCCACGACCCCGTCCTGATGGCTGTAGCACTCTTCTTGGGCCCACACCCCCGCCCCCAGTCCCTGACCCCCGCCAGGAAACGGCGTGGTGCCGGTGCCGACAAGATGAGACGACTCTGTGTCCCAGGTTCAGGCTCTCACAGAGCCCCACCCCCCCCCGGGGTCTTGCCGCACAGGGAATGTTTTTAAAAATGAATTTGCGAACAAGCCAACAAATCCTACACTCCAAAAAACCACGACCCTGATTTTTTGTGTGCCAAAAACTGTGGACATGCTGGCTCAGCATCCTCAGGACCAAGCTGTTGCTTAATTTTAATTTATTGTTTTTTTATTAAATAATCCAGATGAAAAGTTGTGGGGCCTAGGATGGCCTGGCCCAAAGGATCTGAAGGGCCGTCTCCTAGCAGCCCCAGGCTGGCTGTGGGAAGGGCCTGCCACCACTTGCTCATCAACCCGTGGGGTATGTCAGCCTTGGCCAGCCCGACACGGAGAGGCCAGGGCTGGGGACAGTCCACACTCCACCACCCTCCTGCCCACCCCAGCTCTGTGTCTGTGTCTGAATTGTGGATCGTGCAGAAGAACCTGCAGCCATAGTTATTTTGACTATATCTTGACCGAGGGCTTGCAGTGCAAAGCCAGGCCAGTGTCGTGCATTACTTACAATAAAAGGGATCATTTATACCCAAGGGGTCCTGTGGCAGTGCTTTTGGTTGGGGGGGTGGAGGGAACAGGTGTCTACCTGGGAGAAGCTGGGTATGGCGCCTGGCAACAAGCTTGCCTCCCTTAGCAGATGAGAACTTGAAATGACTCCAAGAGGGGTCCTGGGGTGGTGTGACTTGGCTGGTACCAGTCTGCTAGCTCAGAAGTGGCTCCCTTTCTTCCCCCCATTCCTCGGAGCTCTGCCGAGGGTGGTTCTACCACAGCTGACTCACTGAGGTGGCACTGTCAGCTCACCTGACCCAAGTATCAATGTGGCTCCGTTTCCAGGACCTTTGTGGCATCCACTGGTCTTCCCAGCCCAGGGAAGGACTCACCTGAGTCGTATCCTTGCAGGGCAGGGATCGGGCACCTCCAGGAGCCACCTCTCTGATAGCTCCCCCATGGCTATCTGCTGCTGTTGCTTAGCTTGGAGCAGAGAAGGACCATCCTTGTCCCCATCTGAGGCCTCTGGTGCAGACGTTGGACCTGCCCCAAGTGAGGCTCTCAGCAGCCCTCCTCACGCTCTGAGGACCCAGGCTCGGGGTGCCAACTCTGCTTGCTGTTAGCTCTGCCATTTCCAGGGGCAACATAGCACAGTGGCCCGCCCACCTGCCTTCGGAGTTTGAGGCCCAGCTCCCTGCCCTGTTCTATGGGCATGAGGTCACTTAGGAACTTAAGGACGTATATGGGGTGGAGGTAGCAAATCCCCCAGGAGTCTGCCCTCTTGTTCCACCAAGTCACATAGTCCACAGGCAGTTGGGGGAAATCAGGATGGTTGGGTCTGGGGCAGGACAAGCCAGACATCCTGCCTGTATTCTGTTGGGGTGGGGGTGGGAGCAGGGGAGGATCTTAGGTCCTCCAAGCTTGCCTTGTTTGTTGTAAACTGTTGTCCCCTCAGAAGAGCAGACGAGCTGTTTCTCCTTAGGCTGCTTGGGATGGTGACCACGGCTGCCCCATTCCCTGGAGCTTGAAAAAGCAGGAGGAAGAGGACAGATGGGGAAAGGGCACAGAGACTAGGAGACCTTTGATACAAATTGCTGGATCTGCTGGTTCCCACCATTCCAGGGCAAAGGGGGCTCAGACGACTCAGCAAAAGGATTCTGTCGTGTACCCCAACATACTGAAGTGTAGCGAGGCGCAGCACCATTACCCACTGACGGCCTGACCTTAAGCAACACAGACTGAGGGGCAAAGTGGAGTTCAGTCATCAGACACTCTGGGTTTGACAGTATGAAGACCTGGCTGGGAAGCGCACCCCCTTTTCTCAGGCTGCCCAGTGTTCATTCCCCTGACACCCATCACCATCAGCCCCCCACCACCAATCAAGGCCAGGGGTGCTTTGGGCTGACCCTGTCCCCCTTCACTTCTGTGTGGTGACTCTGTATCCTTCCTGCCACAAAACCCCCATCAGGCCACATAATACACAGTCAGGATCTGTTGAAACGTGTTTAAAACAGGGTTGATTACAACAGTCAAAACCGGCAGAAATGGGAGAAGAGGGGAACGTGACCCTGCCAGCTCCCCACCAGTCTCTGTGGCTCTCAGCCTGGCCGGTGCTTTAGCTTCTGCTGCTTCCGTGGTGTGGGATGGTCCCAAGCCCTAATGGGCATGCCCTGCCTCGCCTGGGGGTGGGGGGGGTGAGGAGGGCGGGGCTCTTCCACTTTCCCTCCCCTCCCCCACTGGGTCCTGGTGGGCATTTGGAGAGACCCAGCAGGGGGCATCCTGGCTCACCTTCCTGCAGTCTCCATGGCTCAGGACCAGGCTAAGGGCAGAGGTAGATGGGGAGATGTGGGGGCCACACAGGGCCCTGGGTGGCAGTGAGGGAGCTTGGGACCCTGAGGGGGGCATGCTGACTCCTTGCTGGAGAAAAGGCACCTAGATAGGGAAGCTGGGTTGGGGGGCCTTCCCAGGGGGCCGTGGGGTAAGGTGGGGTAGGCTGGAAGCAGCAGGAAGCGGGCTGGTGAGCAAAGCCCAGTCCTGGTTCCCTAACCCCCCCACCCACTGAGGGAGAAGGAAGGAATCCCGAAGCAGAGCCCTGCCCCCAAGACCCTCTGCCCGAGCAAGACAGCCTCATCCCCTTCCCACCCTGACCCCGCCGGGGCCGGGTCCAACCTCTCTCCCACCCTGCCCGCTGCCTGCTCCAGGCCCTCGACGGAAGGAGGAGGGAGTGGATGGTGAGAGGGGCCTCAGGCTGTCTTGGTGCCGGGGTCCACCTCCTTGTGGGCCCAGAGCTCCTTGTGCTGCTTCCGGCCGAAGCCTTCGTCGTAGTTGCCTTTGCTCTTAAACAGCTGCTGAAAGTGGGGTTTGCAGTAAAATTCTCCGTGCAGCGCCGCGTAGCTGCCCAGGCTGTAGAAGCAGAACAGCTGCGCTCAGGTCGGGTCGGGTCGGGTCGGGTCAGGTCAGGAAGGCCAGGGCGGGGGTAGGGCAAGGGCGCACCTGAGCTTGGTGTGGCAGTGCTTGCAGCAGAAGCAAGAGTTGTGGAAAATGAGCTTGTCGGCCACCAGCCGCTCCATGGGGTACACGGTCTTCTGGCAGGCAGTGCAGGTCTCCTTCACCTGGGCGCGAAGGCTGAAGGACTTTCGGGAGAGACCCCATCAGGGGCCTGACCAGCGACCAGCCCGCCCTCCCGCACACCCCAGCCTCAGGGCCCTACCTTGGAGCGCTGAACCGCGCTGCTGCCACTGCCACCTTTGGCTTCCTGAGGGAGAGGGCAGGCGGGGCAGGGTCAGCTGAGGAGGGCCCCAGACCATCACCAGCCCAGATCCCAGGGACAGTCAGGAGGAGGGGAAGGGAGACAGGCAAACACGCCGCTCAGCACGCCTTCACCCTCAGGCCAGACACCTGCGGGACTGGAGTGCCCTCCCACCCGGCTGAGCACCTACGTGGGAGGGGGTGGCCTGGGTGGCTCCTGCAGCCTGGAACATGGCTCACTGGCGGCGATGGAGGCCCCGTGTGGAGCCGCGGCACCCGCTGGGTTCTGCAAGGGGAAGTCGGTTGAGAGGGCCCCACAAGCCCTTCCCCAGCCCGCAGGGTGGGGGTGGGGTGTTTACAGGCAAGGGGCTGGGGGGCCGCGGTTGGGGCTTTCCCTAAGTCATTTCCTGTTGCTCTGGGTCTTGCCACTTCCGCCCCTCACCCACCTCCCCCTTGGCCCGCTCGTCCCCCACGCGGCTCCGCAGGGGGCAGGGGTCCCTGAGTGGAACCATGTGTCGGGGAAAGAACAGTTAGCTGGCAGCGACTGGGGGAGGGGCTCCGCGCAGCGGCCTGAGCGCTTCGCAGACCAGGACCCCGCCTGGTGCGAGGGGAGGTCAGGAGAGGGCGGGTCCTGGGGGGGGCGGGGGGGAGGCGCGGCCAGAATCCGCTGCCCCGGCCTGACCCCGGCCCGACCCTCCCCAGCTCGGGGCCGAGGCGCGGGGGCCCGGGCGCTCCTCGCTCGGCCGACCCAGCCCCTGGACAGCGCTCGCGGGCCGAGCCGCCCGCCCCGCCCGGCCGAGCCGCCGCCCGCGCGCCCCGCTCCTCCGTCCCGATCCCGCGTACCGGAACCCAGACCCGGGACTCCCGCGGGTCCAGCCGAGGAGACCTCGGCCCCGCCTCTGTCTGGAGGCCGGACCCGGAGGGCGGACGCTGGCCTCGGGGCCACGGGCGAGCGCGACGGGTTGAGGCGCTCGGCGTCGGGACCCCGTGGGCGGCGGCCCTCGCGCCCACAGCCCCGACCTGGGCCGCCCGGATTACGAGCGTGATGCCGGCCCCTCCCCTGGCCCGCCCGCGGGTCTCACCGGGCCCCGGCCTGGGCCGCGGGGCGGGGGTCGGTCTCCGGGGAACGCCTCGGGTGCGAGGAGTGCGCGGGCACGAGCTGCCGCCGCTGGCAGTGGTCCCCGAGCGGCCGCGGCCGCCGCCGCCTTATTACGGCGCCGCCCCCGCCGGCCCCCGCCCCGCGCCCGCCCATTGGCTCCGCAGCGCCCGGAGCCGCCTCCGGGGCCCCGGCGCCGCCGCCGACCCCCTTTCTGCGCTTTGTCTTCCCCTTGCTCGGCGTCCCCCGCCTTTGTCTGCCCCCAGCGCCGACCCCGCTCTCCCAGCGCTCCGCACCGCCCCTCGGCCTTGGCGCCCACCATCGTCGCGAAACCGGCCGCCCCGTCGGCCCGCTCCGGACAGAGGCAGGGACCGGAGCTGGAGGACCCGCGCCGCAGGCCTCGGGCCAGGGGCGAGTCCAGGTGGAGCTGACTGGGGTCGCGGGACAAATGGCGCTCCCGACGAGGCCCTCGCGGCGGAAAAGGATAACCCGGCGCGCCTGGGCCTTTCGCTGCCTCCATTTACCCGCTCCGTGGGCCCTGCGGCACGAAGGACCCGCGGGGGCCGCCCCGGAGGCCCGCCCAGCGTCCCCGTGCGGCTCCCACGCCCCCTCGGGCGCCTCGTCCTCCCGCCGCCCGGGGCGCCTCGCGCGCCCATATGGCCGCCGAGGAAGTTGGCAGGGGCGGCCGGGCACGCGGTCTGGCCACGCGAGGCTGCGAGGCCCGGCCCGCGCCGCAGAAGGGCCCCGGGGTCTCCGTGTTCGGTCAGCTTCGGCCACCAGCCCTCAGCGCCTTCTCTTGGCGCCCCGGAGAGAGGGAAACCGGGAGCCTGCGGCTGTGGTGCCCAGAGGCTGCCGTCCTAAAGCGCTTCTGTGGAGGGACTTTGTGGGCTTCGTCACCCCCCAACTCCCAGCCCCTGCCGGCACCCCCTTCAGGGAAAGAGATCTCCATCCTTGAAACAAGCAATCCTGGGTTCAACCAAACTTCATTTGACACAGGGAGCGAGGCCTGAAGATTTAAAGTGACTCGTTCAAGTAACAAAGCTGGAGCGGCAGGGCTGGCGTGAAAGGCCAGGCCTCCTGACTGCCCCCCCCCCCCCCCCCGCCCCCCAGGCCGAGCCGGCTGCCTGGGCTCCTCCGGCACACGGCACTAAGGGTCCCAGGGAGCATCACTCACTTGTGGGGTAGAGCCTCAGCTCTGCGGGGAGCACAGGGAAGCCACCTCCCGGTCGCAGCTGGAAGCTGTTTCACGAAGCATAGCCCTAAGCATAGCTGCCCTGCGATGGCAGGAGTAGAACTAGTGGCTAAACAGCGAGGCCCACAGCCTTGTCAGGAACAGAACAGCTCATCGTCTCACCTGGCAGGACAGTGAGCGGGGCAGCAGGCATCCCCAGCCCCCGGGTGTTCCCTTGGCTCGCTCAGGGCACCCAGGCTGTGCTTCACTCTTCCCCTCAGCCTCCCTCCCTCTCTGGAGGAAGTTTTACGTTTGGGTTGAGCTGCAGCCCCCCGAACTCCCTGGATGGGGTGTGTGAGAACTTCTAAAACTGTTAACAGGCATCTTTACCAGCCAAGCTTCCACACCTGTCGTCAGATGCTCAAAGGGGGCTATGGTGATGCAAGAAACCTGAAGCTCTCTGAGGTGCAAGGAGCAGCGCTTGGCTGGTGCCTCAGGCCCCCCTGCCGTGCCCAGGATGACCCGCAGCTGAACTGCGGCGGCCCCCACAGAATCAGCCCTTGGGGCGCCGACAGCAAGGTGGAGCAAGCAGATCAGAGGGAAAAAAAACAAGCTGCCGAGGGTGTTAAGAAAAGGGAACTTGAGGTTAAAAAAAAAAAAAAACTAGCTGGCAAGAGGGCTGGAAATAAATGTGACCTGGCCTTCTCACTCCCTCCGTTTCAGGTTTCCCCAGCCCTCCCGGCTGGTGCGAGTCCCTTCCCCTCAACCCCTGTAACTGCCCAGGGGAAGAGGTTTTCTATTTTTCTTTTTAAAACTGATGTTACAATTTCTGAGGAAAGGGAAAGTGAGGGCATTTGACGGGTTAAAGCAGCTACAGGAAAGAGGGAGGGGCACTTCCTTGATCTGACATTTGAAGTACCCAGGCTAGAGAGGGGCACCCCCCTGGGGAAACTGGTGGTGGAAGGGGCCCGGCTGGGGGGCGCGTGCAGGCTGGGACGCACACGCAGGAGCCCGAGGTGAGAATCACCCCCTGGCCTGGACTCCCTGGCTGCCAGCCAGGACGACAGGAAGGGCGGGGGCCGGGTCTTAGGTTACCTGCTCTTTGAGTATGAGTCCCAACGGTGAGGAGACGCTGAGTCCTGTTCCAAAACAACCCCGTCCACCGCCTTTCCTGACAAAAGTGAGCCTCTTCTGCCTGGGCTCCAGTGGCCCAGAAGTGGTCCTGCAGAGAGGCCGGTCACCAGCGCTCAGACCTTTCCAGCCCCAAAGCAGTTTGATGGCCACAGGCTAAAATTAATCGTCTCAACGTTAGATAGTTAAGAGACAAATCCATTATGGGTTTTAAAAGAAACGTGTGCTGTGAGGCTGTCTAGCTAACGAAGGAAGTCACCGCTGTGCTTCCACAAGCACTTGTGGGACCACTCTCAGATGGCAGAACCGGGGGTGGAATGACTCACGTCCGAGCCTGCATGGCCAACACACAACAATGTCACTCTCCAGTGGATTCTCTGGAACTTTTAATTTGTTCTGGCGATGAAACCAACACTGCATAAGGACTCAGGCCCTCAGGTTAGGCAAAAATTATGGCCCTTGGAGGAAGCACCAAGGCGGCCAGCAGGAGTCGGTGAGATGGACCCTTCGTGGGAAAGGAATGAGCTACAAAGATGAACCAAGAGAAGGTTTCAGGTGTCAGGGCCCAAGCAAAAAGGGGGAGGAGGATGGACTGCCCTAGCCTTCAGCTAGTGCTTATAAAGAAACAATACCCTTGCCTTCAGCTATCAGGGAGAGGTCCGAGGGGAGGGGAGTCTTATTGCTTGCCCCTCTGGACCTATAGGATCTGAGAGCAGGGGAGAAGGACGCAACTAGGCTGGTAGGAGAGCCAGAGTGGGAAGAAGTCGCACAGCTCCCTGGGTGGGTGAGTCAAACCCTGGCCTTGGACTTCAGCCGCCACAGCCAGAAGAGCATCTATTCCTTCTGAAGAGGTCAGGTCACCTGAGCTCACAGGACTGGGAACGTCAGCTTTCCGGCCCCTCCCAATCCCTGGTTGTTGGGATTCCCTCGTGTCTCAAAAGCCTTTGGAGCAGTAAAAAAAAAAAAAAAAGTTTCCTTCCAGGAATTTCTTTCCCAGTCAGTAAGCAGCCAACACGCCTGGCAGAAATGTCCTTTCTGCTCAATCTGCCCCCAGGAGGGTGGGAGTGCAGCCAGCCCTCAGGAAGGGTCCTGGAGGCTCACGCAGCCTGGGATGGAGAATGTGCACCTTCTTCAGAGGCTCAGAACTCCCAGTCGTCCACCTCCAGCTCTTCCAGGTTTGTTACCAGGCCAAAGATTGCACTGTGATCCTGAGACTGGCTGCCTTCAAAACTGGTGATGGGGGTGACAGGACGAAGTAACTCCGGCAGAGCCTCTGAGGCACGTCGCTTGATCTGGGGGAGGAGAGAGAGTTGGGTGTGGATGCTGTTGCTTTGAGTCTCAGGACATCATGGGGCAAGGGACCACGGCCCAGGGACAGATGGGCTGTTGGAGCCACGAGTCTCTGGGAGGAAGGAGCAGCGCCTTTAAGGGGCTTTGGAAACATGGTCATTTCTCTGATTTGAACGGAGGAGGAGAGAATATCTAAAGACCCCAAAGCTAAGGGGACTGAGGGTGGTTGGAACCACAGGCAAGAAAAAGAACCAGGGAGCCTTGGGAAAGTGCTACTGTACCTGCTTGAAGAAAGAATGGTTCAGGAGGGTGCTAGCACTTGGTCTGTAGAGGAAGGGGAGGAGAGACCAGCATCAGCCCTGTGCCCGGATTTCCCCAGTCCTGCTGCTTCTACCTTACCCTCAAGTGCCCCCTCTCCTTCCCTCAGCTCACCAAGAAACAACAGCCAGAGCTACCCAGGCTGGCTTCCTAGCAAACCCCTCCTGCCGAGGGGGCTCTGGACTCGTCCCAGGAACCCAGACTTTTACAGGACAGAGGCATCCTCTCAAACCCGGCCTTGCACTCCAGAGCCCCCTGGGCTCCCCACAAAGCCCACTCCCAGCCCAGCAGACATACCTTACATCCGGGTTGCGCTGAAGGCACTGCTCCACAAAGTGGTGGAAGTGGGGTGAGAAGGTGCGGTGATAGGGGTGGGACGGCGTGTCGCCATTGGAGGTCCTGGGGGGGCTGGGGGCCAGGCTCTCACTCAGGCCAGAGTTGGCCGCTGAGCGCGAGGTGCTCATGGTCAGCTCCTCGGCAGGGATGGTGCTGGTGTCCAGCAGGCAGGGTACGGTGCCGTTCAGCTTTTCCAGCAGCATCTGGGGAGGACAGAGCCAGGGGCTAGGCTGGAGGGGGCCCCTGGAAGGCCTATAGAGTTTCTTCACAAGTATACTTTCCCCAACACATGAGTGATTCGGGAGAAGTAAAGAAAGAAGTGGAAAAAGTCTGACTTTTCCAAAGGACTGGCAGCCACACCCTAGCAAGGCCAAACTGACGAGGAGGACTGCAAAGGAGTACCCGCCTCCGCCGTGGTTGGAAGGCAGGGGCTTGCAGTCTCTCCCCCTTCGTAAGGCATCAGATCCTTCCAACTGTAGAGCCCTCACCCTAGGGTCAAGGTGGCAGCCAGGTCCTTTCTTTAAAGCCCAGCCCCAGTGTGCCACGCCCAGGTGGGTCCGATGGGGTTCATTCTGGCCGACTGTCACTGCAGCGGGCTGCACAGCAGCAGTGCACCCAGGGGCGGGCTAGGCAGCTGTTCCGAAGTCCTCAGACTCCACACATGTAAAAGCAGCCCACCTTGGGGACTGCTGTCCTCATGGACCTCGTGAGCTGTTCA